TCCCCCACTCCCCCTGGTATCCACCTGCCTCGCCCACCTCTTTCTTCCTTCCCTGCCGCGCGTCTCGACACTTTGAGCAAAGTGCCAATTGCGAAGGTGCTTAGAACTGTGGTTTGCCCTTTCTCCGCTTCCCTGTCTCTCTCCCTCTTTCGGCTTTTATTTTTTCTCCCAGACTCAAAGAGTAACTTAGTTAAGATGAAGATTAGCGAGTAATTCGCGGTAACACTCTTCACGGGAGTCTTGGCCACTTTGCTTCGGGGAAGAAGCAGATGATGGGAAGGAAGGAGAAGACAAACAGGAGAAGAACGAGGATACGAAGAGGGTTGCCGAGAGGAGGACGTTGCAGAGGGTATTACTTTTTGTGCGACCGGAGATTTGACAAAAACAAAAAAGTAGCCAAGAAAAATGCATATTTTAGCACGCTACTTTAACGCAAGAAACACAACTGCAGCACGCAGGGCATCCAGCGAACGATATACGGTCAGCTGTTTCTCGATCATTTTGATTTTCCGTCATGGAGAGAAGGTGGTCAGTAAAGAGACCTTGTGGGGATTGCTCACTTTTGTATACCTCCTGCGAGTGCGAGAGAGAGGCCCGTATAGGCGATTACGTGCGCAAGACAAGGATAGACATACTAGTCGCTGGAACTCGCACTCTTTTTAAATTGACTCAATTCTGGCTACAATTTTCGAAGAATTTGAAAAATGGAAATCAGCCTGCACTGGAATCGCTTGAATTTTGGCAGGAAGTTGCAAAATCGTCTTATCTTGGCTCGGGAGTCTTTAGGAAAGAAGACGCGATCTACAATGTACAACGGACTGATCTCGCCCCCGGCACACGACTGCTCCACCGGTGCGTCGGTGCGTCGGTGCGTCGGTGCGTCGGTCCTTTCTCGTCCGTATTTGTAATACTTTTAATACGGACAAGGGGAAGATCGCCATGAATTATACTAGATTCGAGCAAGCCGGTAATGCAATAATAAGTATAAGTCTCCGACGTCTGGCTCCTCCGAGTCCTCAGCTCGCAATCACAACGGAGTCTCTGACTATTATGTCGTTTGATGGAGCCGCAAGCGCTTCTCTCGTTTAAAGAGGAGGAACAAGTCCTCTCGACGAAATGGCACATCGCCTAACCGCAATCGCCTACGAGAAACGAACCTTTAACCGTCTCCGCTTTTATATTTCTACGCTCTGATTTAATCCTCGTTTCCTCCCTGGGACTCTTCGCTTCTCTCTCTCTCTCTCTCTCTCTCTCTCTTTTTCTCTCCTGCTCCCCTCTTCCGGCAGCCCCCGTGCATCATCTTCGCGTGTATCAAGGAAAACTCTCGCGCTCATCCGTCGATGTAAATGCATTGCTCTTTTTTGGCGCTTTTCCAGAAAGAGAGGGGGGAGCGAGAAGAATTGAGGGTTGAGAACGGGAGGGGGGAGGGTGGGGTCCAGCGGCGGATCCCTCACTCGCTTCTTCGGGGGTGGCGATCTTTTTTGCTATTAGCTAAGTATGCTGCTTCTGGCTTATGTTAAGCTTCAGCAATTATTTGTCATAGTCAAGTAACGCGCTACGAGACAAAAGAGCGAGGCGGACTATAGCTGCCGCTAACGAACCTTAACTGCGCGAGACTTTTCTTTTATCTTTCACGGCTCTCCGACGTCCTCGAGATCCCATTTTCCAGGCCCCCACCAACCCCTTCTGTCGGTCCAGTTTTGAGAGAGGCTGTAGAGGAGCCTCGCAAGAAGATCCGCAGCCGATACTCTCTCTCTCTCTCTCTCTCTCTCTCTCTCTCTCTCTCTCTCTCTCTCTCTCTCTCTTTTCTAGGCGCAAGGCGTTAAACGAGCCTTAATTCGAAGCGGAAGTCGTCCGCGAGATAAAAACAACTCGCCGTGCCCAGCAAATGGGTTAAAAATTGCCCCTGAGTAGTCGCACCGCCGAATTTCCTGTCGACCCCAAAATTACCAGCCCTTGCACCTCGTTTCTACCACTCTCAAAATATCCACCAGAAATCCGGAGGTCCTGCTTCCTTTTCTCGTGACGTTTAGCCCGTTCCTTGCCATTTATTTTCTACGACCGTATCGAACTTTTTCCAAAAGGATCACTCGAGCGCACCAGTCGGCCAGTCGGCCAGTCAACTGGGGAACTTGCTTCCTCCTATGTTCTCCATCTTTTCCCTAATTTCCATCTCCTTCCAGCAGTATTCGCTTCTCCGCCTGCGACGACCTTGGTAGCTGCAGGGTAAAGAAACGAGGAGGCGTCGCGACGCCACTCCGAGTCTCACTCCGTACTCGAGGATCGCCTGTTCTTTTCTGCTTTCAGGAACCGAATTGGTCACAGGCTGATCCAGCGCTGTTGGGGAGGAGATCATTAAAAGCGAAGAAGCAGCATCCACGACCTTCTCGAAGAAGACGCCCTCAGGACTCATCCGGTGACTCGACGGCCGAAGGCGTCGCGCCAGTTAATCGATCGATCGACATACTAGCTTTATTTTTTATACGCGATAAGTGGGACGATCGAATAATTCCCTCAGGACTCCAGGACGATGGAAGCGACGGGTGGGCGATATGCAGAGGGAGACGAGAGAGAGAGAGAGACAGAGACAGAGTACGTTCCTGTCGAGGACTCTCGAGACATCTCCACCATTTCATACTTTTTATACCAGAATATTTATCACTTATTTTCTCCCGTTTGTTTTTCTCCATTTTACTTGATTTTTTTCGTTTTCCTTTTTTTTAAATTTTAATTACAGTGTTGCATCATTAACACCAGGGCCTCGTTTCTGTTTTTATTTCTCCTGCCATGGTTTTAATCTTGAATTCTTTTAGTTTCTCTCATGGCACCCTCTGATTTTGCATTATTCGTGTTATTATTATTATTTTTTAAACTTTTTTATTGAAAACTTTCGTTGCAACGATATCCTCGAATTTGCGACCGCGTCGAAATCCGTTTTCCTCCGAGAATCAAGCATACAATAAAGATATGAGAGGCAATAGGGGAAAATGTCAAAGGACAAATTCGCAAAATTGAACGAGGAGAAAATGTGAGGGGATTCGCGTAAAGGAGGGTAACTGGTTGGGGGTAAGTGGAAAAATGAAGAGAGAATTGTACTGAAGCCACACGAGCCTTTCATCACGTTTGATACATAGCTTTTAATACGTGTAAGAGACATATGTATGCTCTATCTTCTGGACTGAAACGCGCTGTATGTACATAACGCAACAAGGGGACGCAATCGTCCTTTGCGAATCCTTTGCGACTGGCTAGTAGCGAATAGAGATCTATCCACTAGATTATATAATACAAGAGAGACTATGCGAGAGGATGGAGGAAGAGACACTGCGCAAAGTGCATGTCAAAATATATATATATATATATTGTATATATATATATATATATTATATATAGAATTATTATATGAGAATATGTGAGCACGAGAGCGAGTGAGTGAAAGCGAAGACGCTTCAATGTGATGAGAATAAAAAAGAAAAAAGAAAAAGATGAGAAAAATCGATTTCGTACGGCACAAATTGTATATATATATATATATATACAAGAGAGACTATGCGAGAGGATGGAGGAAGAGACACTGCGCAAAGTGCATGTCAAAATATATATATATATATATTGTATATATATATATATATATTATATATAGAATTATTATATGAGAATATGTGAGCACGAGAGCGAGTGAGTGAAAGCGAAGACGCTTCAATGTGATGAGAATAAAAAAGAAAAAAGAAAAAGATGAGAAAAATCGATTTCGTACGGCACAATTAATAACGTCTATATTTACTTAATTCCGATGATCCCATCACCCGGAAGCTCCTTATAATTTAGGATTCGAAAGGATTTCGTTGCACGGGGCAGCCAGGCCGAATGGCCGAGTGGCCGAGTGGCTGAATGGGAAAGTGAGGATCGCAGGCGTGTATATGCTCGCTTACGGTTACGCGTTAATTAGTTGGAGGAGTTAAGGTAAGTGGGAAGGAAGGAAGGAAGGAAGGAAGGAAGAGGAAGGAAGGCTGCTAGGTGGTCCCAAAGGGACGAGTCATCATTGCCTCATTTACTCCGTAAAACAATCTGCCGGCAGTTCAATGGGCTTAACTATATTAAACTTGGCAGCACGTAATTAAACTTAGTTATACTCTACACTGGTCCACATTGGTCTACACTGGTCCACAGTGGCTGCGCGAGGATGAATCTCCGAGCGTGCAGAGCGAGCAGGATATTTGCTTTCGAATTCTTACTCGGGATGGGCTAATGTAGAATATAAAGGCGTCGGCACACCGTGTGCCCTTATCTCACTCTCTCTGGGCTTTGTTGTGGCGGAGCTACTAGTATCTCTAGATTCGTTCCAGCCGCTCGGCTGCTGGAATTCTCGGTGGAAAAATCGCGGCCGGATTAGCGAGAGAAAGCCTAGGGCAGCTTTTGAACGGCGTCGTCGTCGGCGGCTCCTGTTCCCCGTGTGGGGTCGCCGAGCGTCGGGCTGCCAGGGATACAGTTAACGCCTTTTTACCGGATACTGCTAATCCATACAAATGCCTCGCGGACCCGTCACAGCCTTTTTCCCCAATTTGTCCGCGCGCGCGGTGAGACTCTGGACCCGCATGCGAGAGGCTGCGTAATCTTGACGGAACGACGCCGCGACGCTGATGTTTCGGTAAACATCGTGTAATTGAACTGGCAACTGGAAAACTCAAAGCGCCTCTCGCGGCTCTGGCGCTTTTTCTCAAATTCCTACAGTTCGCATTTTCCCCAGGTCACTCGTTGGTTGGGGATAATCTTTTCTTTTCTTTTTTTTTCTTTTTTTTTTTTTTCAATCGACCCCCAAACAATATTTGGATCGTCGCGTCGCGACGCTTGAGATATTCGCTCGGGGAGAATCGCTAAGTTTTCCCAAAGTAACTTGGAAGGGACGGCTTTAAGGTTCGATCGTTCAACTCGGCCGGTTCTCCCGGCGCAGTGCGAAGCTTCTCTCTTCTCTTCCCTTCTCTCTGCGGTCCAGCAAAAAGCGTCTCAAGTTTTGCCCACGAAGAAAACAGAAACTCCCCCCGAGCAAAAAACCGGAACACGGGGGAGGCGTCGTAGAAGCGTAGCGCGGTTGCCCGGCGGGGGGAGGAAGGGAGGGGGAGGCACGGAGCCAGGAAATTTTTGACCCCGTGAACTCGCGAGATTCGTCGACCGTCGCGTGCCCCTTAGTCCTGTGGACCAGGAGGCTGTTGATGAAATCTGGCCAGGGTGCCGAATTCTCGGGGCATCCGTCTCCAGGAGTCCTTCCACTCTCCTGCCTCCGTCGACGGCACGAAAGTCGAAGCGGCGTCCGGGGACAAAACTTCCTCGAGCGCGTAGACAATGGGGAAGCTGGCAAGTCAAACGCAAAGCGGAGATGACAAATGAAACGCGATTCCTGCTTCCACTGTTTCATTTGTATCCTAGATACGTGGTCCGGAGTTTCGCCCGGAGGCTGCGGGGCTGGAGACGAGCGCGTTTGGGGCGCGATACAATTTACCCTATAATTTAATATGATCCTTTCTTAGGAGGCTGCGACTGGGAGCTGATGAAAATCGCAGCGCGCTTTCGGGGTTAGTTTGGTCCAGCGGGATAAATAAGAAGGGAGCAGGGAGACGGTCGGGGGCCTAATCGGTTGGAGGACCACGCGTTTAATTGATACTAATTAACATGTTTCATGTCCCAGGAGCGCTGGACTCGGGCGGCGGATCCGCTTTCAGGGACTGCAAAGGCGGGCCCGGGGGCCCGGGGGCCCAGGATGGGCAGCGGGGGAATAGGGCCCTGTGCCAAAAAGTCCCTTCGTTCGTGGAACGACGTTTCCAATTCGCGTCGCGATATTTTTTGTAATTAATCTTTAGACTCGGCGAGATCCGAGACCAGTCTGCCGCGGTGTATCTAGTTTTTGCGGGCGTCAGATGACAGTCGCTTATTTACCGGGGGCCCTGCGGCCATCTTGCGCGATCCGGACTTAAGGAGGCGAGTCGAGAAAAAGCTTAAGTAAGCGATAGTCTCCGGCTCGAATTAATCGATCGGTTATCGGAACCAGAAGAACCTAAGATGGAGCAGGGCCGAGAGGAGAAGGCGCATCGGGGAGGCCCTCCCTCCT